TGAATTTTACACTAATATTTTACCATGCAAAGGTTATATTTTGCTATGTATTTTTTCATATCAGATTTTGTAGAAAGAGGTTTTATTCAACATAATTTTATTGAAGTTTGTGTTCTGTGCTGACTGGTCACACCACTGAAAATAACATTCACACAGCAACAATTTTTTTCATTTTTCTTCCATTTGAAGTATGGTATTGAAGGAATACATAAGCCAGCAACCTAGTAATTCTTTGGTTATAAGATCACGTTTTCAGACTTTAACACTAAAGAACAAAATACCAGAAATTAAAACTTCCAGAGATAGGAAAAACAATGTAGATCTTTCATCAGGCCTGAGGAGTATCTGGAGTATTGCAGGGAAGAAAACTTCAAATGGCCTTACAATTAGCAGTCAATTTAAGCATGACTTGATCAATCTGGACTAGTCAACTCCGCAGACTTTACCATGTCATATTTCCCTTTTACCAGATGTACCATTCTACATCCCAGAATTTTTTTTGACTAAAAATAGGAAATCATCACAGTATTCACAGGCAAATCTGGGAGTGGCAGAACCAAAACAGTGGATCTCTATATATTTGTATAGATTTTTTTTACAGATTTTAATTTCACTCATTGCAAATTTTGCTATTATAGAAAACAATGCAAGTACTGATTGAACTTCATCATAGATCAGACATTCAGTGTCTCTCACATTAATATCTGGAAGGAAAAAAATGATGCTGAGGTCCCCTCTATTTCTATGGAGTGTAGAAAAAATCAGCACCCAGGAAAATTAGTGGGATCTCAAAAACAAGCAATCATAATTTAATCACAACCAAAAAAGAAAAAAAAAATAAAAATAAAGAAGAAGTCTAACCCTGAAATATACAGACCTGTTGCCTTAAGAACTCAAACTTTCACAGACCAAGTAAGAATCATCTGGAAAAAAAAATGAATTATCTGATACATACAAATTATTTAAGATCTTTTTGCAAGATATACAGAGAACAGGTCACATGGGATTGAAAGTTACATTCAGTTAGAAGTGCAGTCAAAATAAAAGCACATGATGAATGAAAGAATGTATAACTTAATGCTAATGAATACAAATCAGGAGGCAGAAATTGAAGAAAATAGGTAAGGTAACCAACCAGACACAAGAAAAACAGAAGAAAACAGAAAACAAAGTGACAAGTGCTTTTAATGTATACTTGGAAGATTATTAATATATTACTTGATTGAAAAAGCAAATGAACAAAGGATGCAGTAGTTATTTCTGTTGTATGCTCCAAAATAAAAATGAACAAGTAAATGCCAAGTCATCAGTAATAAGAATATATGTAAAAATAAGACCTAGAAGGGAATATGTCCTCCCTTTAGCTCAAAACATTGACTATAGTTAAAGCATTATAGACATTTATTTCTAAAACTTACACATTGGTGTTCTAGTATGGGACAGACCTTATCTTTGCAGGATCCTTATCCTTACAATAGGAGAGGTGCAAGCCTCCCTTCAGGCAAGTGAACTTGCTTTCTCATTACTAGATGCAGAAAACATTTTCCCATGAGTTAAACTAGGGATTTGGCCTGCTCCTGCAATTACAGGAGTAAAATAACACTAAAATTGATATATTTTGTAAACTGGGACAATTATTACAGATTTCCTTCTTGTGCCACATGGATGTCATTTTTCTCCTTGTTTTTAGGGAGTATTTTTCATAAACTAATTTACATGATTGTAAGATTTTCACAGCTATGGCTCCTCTCAGCTACAGTTAATCTTATTATGGGTATTTCCAAATACAATAATCTTATAATACGATCAGCAGTGACCCTCAGACTGTGAAGTTTAAGAGCCTGAGGTGAGTGAGCAAGATTAACAGCAGAATAACAACCCCAGATTTCAGAAGAGCAGTTTTCAACTTCTTCAGCAACCTGCCTGGCAGGGCCCCAGGAAACTGCCCTGAAGGACAAAGGAGCCCCAGAGAGTTGGCTGGTCTTCAAGGACAGCCCCATCAGAGCACAGGAACATGCAGAAAGGCAAGCAAGCCTGGCAAAAGGCTCTGGCCTTTTGTTCTTAATGGACAAGCATGAAGGCCCCTCCTGATCTCAGACAAGAAAAGGAAGTTCACAGAAAATTGAAGCAGGACTACAGAAACATGGCCCGCACATGTGGGAGGGAAAAGCAAATGCTTAGCTGTGTGTAAACGAGCCAGGGACAACTAGGAGGGCATCCAGAAAGGCTTGTGTAGGTACATTTGCAGCAAAAAGGCGGCTAAGGAGAGTGTAGCAGAGAGGAAGAAAATGTTGGTAATCACTTAACTGAATTGGACATATACAAGACTTCTCTCTATCATCCTGAATAGGTCACAGCAATCAGGGGAGGTTCCTGTTGGCTGGAAAGAGACAAACATCACCTGTCTTCAAGGAGCACAAGAAGGAGGATCTAGAGAGCAACAGCCCAGTGAGCCTTACCTCAATCTCTGGGGTGGTTATGGAGCACATCCTCCTCAAAGTCCTTTCTGAAGACATGAAAGATAGGGTGATTGGGAACAGCCAGAATGTATTTATCACAGGCAAATTAATTATTTTCTATAATCTGGTGACTGGCACTTTGGAAGGCAGTGCACTCTATATACCCTGATGGGGTTCAGCATCTCAGCTCTCCTCTTTGTCTCCTCCAACGCCTGGATCAACAAGTTGCCATCAAAGCTCTCCGGGAATTTTCTGGATTGCTTGCACCTTGCAATGTTGTCCCTCCTGCTTGTGTAGCAATGTTGGACAGCAGACAACGTCAGAAGCTCCAGACAACCAGAGCGCTGAGAAATCACAAGCCTGGCAGTCACGTCTTCACACAAACAAAAATAACCTGCCAGGAAACTGAAAGCCTAAAAGCTATGACAAGGGGCCAGGAAACTAGAGGATTCTGATCAAATCCTTTCTGATATTTCTACAGGCTAGCACATCAGTAAATTTTGATTTACATGAATCACTATATTTTCCAATAGGAAATATTATAATAGTAATTTTCTGAACAGTTGCATTTTAAAGTATCATGATTATTTTACAGATCTAACATTGAATTTAGGAATGTAACTTACCCTTCATTATGCCTATTTTGCTAAAGTTAGCTTTTTAAAGCAGTATTAATTTTACATATTCTTCTTGTAAAGCCAGTCATTTTTCATTCCCCAAAAGTTTTAAGAACCCATTTAAATTATATAATCATCTTGCAATCATTAAAAACGCAAGCAGGCACTATAGATTTAGGTAAAACAAAAGTAATATTTTTGAAATATAATTTAATTCACCTGATAACATCAGACAGACATACAGATTATGGCTTTACCAATGGGAAGTGATAAGGGTCTATTATCTAAGGCGATAATCCCAAATTATATCATGTGGGAATTACCACACAGACATCCTTTTTCAACAATGACTGCATATTGTCCTCCACTGATGACCAGTGCATTTTAGTACCAAGACTGCTCTATGAGATACAGGATTTGAAATCCCTTTCCTGTTCTTAAGATTATAATGAGCAGCAATATAGCAATATTATCTGCAAACAATGAAAAGATTCCCGAATATTTTACAGCCTTTTGTGCCTAAACTATTGTCTCTAGCAAACCCCCTCTTGTCTTTTGATTCGTTAAAAAACATCTACACATAAAACTATTTACAGTTCAAGGCAAATACCACCATATTCAGGAGCTTATAGACTATTTCAGTTATATTCGTGTTTTACATGATACTCCTAACTCAGCAGATGTCATACATCTGCCTCTTTATCCAACACACACATATGAACATGAAAAATATGATTGGAAAATGCACTGCAATTTGATATACAAGATTGTTTTCCACCTAGTCAAATCCTCTCTCGTTATGGTAGTAATCTTGAAAATCAGTGCTAACTTTCAAAAACAGATTTAATTGTCATGAGGATAACAACTCCCAAATTGTTCCCTGACTGTAACTTTTTGCAGAAAAACAAGCTTAAAGTTGCACTCAAAGGCTTATGCATATCATTAAACTCTTCATTTTTTCTTCCTTGAAGAATGATGCATGCCATTTTGTTTACTTAAAAGAAAAAAAAATTAGCATTCCAGTCACTATAGCTCTTTGAACCTTGAAATGTTAGTATGCACTGCTAAAAATAATTTAAAAAACCTTTGAAAATTAAATTGATTTGTATTAATTCATTTACATAATTCATAGGGAGAGAATGTTCTTCTTTATTAGCTTCTTCACTGAGAGAATAAATGCCTCATTAATTTTAAACACATCAATCTGAAAATGCTATCCATGTCAGATAGAATAATGACTGACACTATGGAGAGCACAATACACTTCACAGAAAATACAATCATCCATTATTCACTCCGTACACACAAGCTTATTTGTATCACGAAAACTCTGAAAAGTAGAAATCTTATGACTAACTATGGTGTATGTGAGGAGAGAGACAAAAGAGAATGCAGGTTCCGAGATTAGTGTAGAGGCACGTGAATTCCTGACTTCGTGAAGTTGTTGGTCCTATCATGCATCCACTGTTCTCTGTTTATTCAAACCTAGACACCTCTTCACAGGAATCAACTGGGCAGAAGAGATTTCCTGTGGCACCTTGTGAAGAGCAGGTTCAGACTGGGCTGTTCCTTCTGTTAGGTATGAACCCGTAGTTCCCAGCCGCTCACCGCTTTCCCTGCGAGAGGCTTTTAGTGCATGCACAAAGGACGCTTCCTTTCAGCGTGAATCCCGGAGTGCAGCTGGGCGCTGCAACCGCAGACACAGCCAGGCTTCGAGCCCCACGTTGGGCGCCATTTGCAGGCGCATTGTGGAGCAGGGTCTCTGTGAGGGTGACCCAAAGGCCTTTATTGAGGGTTAAACACAACTCGTCCGGCTCCCGATCCCGGAGCAGCCCCGGCCCTGCCCGCCCACGCGCGGAGCCCAGCAACCAACCAGCCAATCAGCGAGGGGATCCCGCGCGAGGCCGCCCAATGAGCTGCCTGGTCACGCGCCGGCCGCGTGGCTGCTGCTCCCGGGGGTCCCGCTCAGTCGCCATGTGCCGAGGAGGCGCCGCCGGCACCGACCCCAGGCTGGCGGCAACATCTCCCCCTTGGTAAATCCGTGCCGCCTCTTCCCACTCACCCTCAGGTTCTTACACCTAGAGGTGACTTCCATGTCACTGCTGTGACAGTGTATAAATGTTGTATAGGGAACAAATTAAACCAAAATAAGTAAAAATTAATAATGAATTAAATGTCTAAATGCTGTCCTTCAACATATTTTCTTCATCAGAGGCCAATTTTTAAGAAAATAAAAATCCTACCAGTGTACAAATCTCAGCATATATAATAAGCATGATCAATACATTTGTGCTATCTATACTCCAAGGATCGTTTTCATCACGAAAATACTTGAAACTTTTTTATATTAATTCTCTATTGTTATTCAACTTCTACTTTCCAAAATCCTATGAATCATGCAGCAATTAATAAATATTTTAAGTACTTTTTTTTTTTAATCAATGGGCAATTAGATCTATAGATCTAACTTTGAGACCTTTAAGACCTATCTGTGCTTAGCAACATAGTGTAAAGACAAATACAAAGTGCAATTTTCTCAGCAACTGCTTTTGTGCTATTTTTCCCTCAATAGAGACAGGTTAATGAACTGTGTACAAGGTATTATTTATCAACTTGCTTGTGAAAACTTCAGAATTGACACAGAACTACTTTCAACTAGTTTAATTTCTTTTGACTATTTTGCAGTAATAATTTTTAATGCTCTTTTATACTTTCAATTTGATATAATGATGATTTTTTTTTTTCGTGAAACTGTAGTCACAAAATTCATCTTTCTGCAAATTGCAAATATATTTCATTTATTCCCTCTAGATCAAAGTTTAAACAATACTTGCAGGTAAACAGTAGCAACACATCTGATTGTTTTCTTCTACAAATATCTGTTATTTTGACTATTCCTAGAAGATATTTGTGAATGTTCAATTGAAAGCTCTATCAGGCTGTTGAGTTCATCCTTCACCATAAAGCCCTTTCAATAGTTATTCAGATAAATGAGTGGCTGAATAGAAATCTGCTTTGTGTATGTTCACATCGGAAATCTATTATTCAGATTTCACATTTCATAGTTCTTTAAGTTCCATTTATTTAGAATCAGAAGCAATGTAATATAATTTATGACATAACCAGCTTAATAAATAATCAATTAATATTCAGCAGTACTGATCCCTGAATCACATTCTTTACCAAAGCACATGTAGATGAGTCATCTCATTCAGGCCCTTAAAAAGTAAAAAAATCATTATTCCTAATAGGCTGAGGCCAAACTAGATGGACCAAAAAAAAAAAAAAAAAAAAAAAAAACCACTAGACTATTTCTTTGAAATAGTAAGTAGGTTTCCAATCACAGTATTTCCAGCTTGAAGATGGAGCTAACAAATCTTATTAGATTTGTCAAATAAGCTAGTGCAATAAATTCTACTTGTGGTAGCCCACTTATACATGATCTTTTCAATTAAGGACAGAGAACTTCTGTATATAACTGAAAAAAAAAAGAAAAATTATATTTTTTCTTACTTTGTACAAATCTATTTTTTAGTTTATAAGGCTATTGGAGGCATTTTCCATTAAAAAAAGTTCAGGTGGATTGGAGAGAATCCATCTGGGCTTCCCTGTCCAAATGTCAGCACAAGATGAACACTATTCAAAATGCAAGAGAAGGATCAAATCTTTGAGCATTTGGTGATCAGAAATATCAGACCCAGAGAAATAACATACACACATAATACAAACCAACAGTGTACCCAGAAGTTAGGGTAAGGCAAAGTATTTGCTATGGAAGTTAGGACTCTAACAGTATCTTTTCAAAATAGACTCATTCAACTTCCTCCCCAGTCTATTAAGAGCTGGTTTTCAAACAAAAGGAATAGCAAGATGATCCTTTCTTTGGTACTTAAGGCAACTGTAGCTAGTCAAAGTTACTGTGCTCCACACTCAAATTGTTAGCTAGGCTTTAAGTATCGAAGTCACTGGGAGACATAAATGACAAAACCAATTTCCAAAGAAAGGAGCCTTATAGCTTTAAGAATATAAAATAAGACAACAGGAAGGAAGTCGCTCTGTGTAGCCAGATTTGTCTGTGGCTTAAACACAATAATTTGCAGCTTCCTTCAAAAACAATAATTCATTTGGTAAAATCCACTGTTGAAATCACTGGATCAGGATAGTTACTTCATGTGGTTATTGTAAGATAATAGTAACCCCTCTTGTGGAATATGGTGAAACAGTGTACTTCAATTTCTCCCTGAAGAGAGCAACCTAAGACATATCCTCTGATGCTTCAAGTCTCAGCCAGGTCATTACTCTCGACAACTTAAATTTCATTATTTCTACTTCATGAGGAAGCAGACGTTGCAGCAAGTAAATACAGAGTTAGACTTTTCTTATGTAAGCAAGGAATTGCCAGAGTTTAATAAGCAGCAGCAAATTACATATTTTCTATATTTGATACTGCCCTGCAACTCCCTCAGACCAACCCAGCTGTCATTGAATTTAATAAAGATGGAGAATCAAAATATGCTGTTCACACTGAATGAGTTTATGGCCACCCTCTTATGGCGTTCTTGCCATCACCAGTTTCCTCACTTTTCCTGTGAGGATCCTGTTGACAATTGCCTTTTTATTATATCTTCTTCCAAAAAGCTTACTTTCCAAAGAGTGTTCCTTGCTTATAAAGTACATAACCTCTAAATTTTATATTTGTAAAAAAAATGCTAAAAGCAGTCTTCACATTCTTTACTCATTTTGCTACACATATTTTAAAAGTAACTATCACAACTAAGGAAGTTTGCCCCCCTTTTTTTTTTTTTTTTTTTCAGAAAAGCAAAAGCAGCCCTGATTTTAGCCTTTTCTTCATGACTGGTTCCCTGCATAATTACTGCCACTGCACTGCCACTACTTGGGAACTGCAGCTTGAATCTGATTGCTAGTAACTGAAGTTTAAATTTCAGTTTAAACCTACTTAAGTCCCGGACCCCAGAACTTTCTTCCAAAGATTTATAGCCATGTTTTGTCCAAAGAAAAGGGCTTGGATCAAGACTGTCCAAATTCCCGCCAAAACTGGTAAGAGTGCTTTTGCCAGCCTTCATAAAATTAAACTGAGCTCTGCAACAAATTACTACTTATGGAGGGAAAAAAAAAAAAAGAAAAACTGTCTGTGTATCATGAAATTTGTGGAGCAACATTTTAAAATCATTGTCCAAAAAGGAGCAAGATGCACACATATACAAGCCTTAAGTAGGCTGCTTTGTTCAATACTTGGAATGCATAACACACCCTAGCTAGATCTGGGGGGAAGGAGGTTTATAGGTGAGCTGTGCTTGTAAACTCAAAGAACCATTGAATCAACCTGTAGAAAGTTAACACAATAATTAATCATAATAATGTATCGATAATAAGTAAAGCCATAACTTTGTGCAAGATACAGTAGAAAAGCAGACTACAGCCTTGCTACTGGATGAAGCAGTATTTTTTTGGATAGCAACTCTGAAAACTGGTCACATCCCATAGTTCATAGTTTTCTACAGAAAATATCTTTACTTTTAATATAACTACTTATAAGCAGAAGGTCTGTCAAGAAAGAGAGAGTGTTGAATCTGCCAATATAAATACTAAGAGCATCTAAAAGAGCTGCCCAGACTACAAATCCATTCTCCATTAAAAAAAAAAAAAAAAAAAAAAAAAAGTTTGAAGACTTTAGTTCCCAATCAGGTTCCCAATACCCAGTCAAGCAGATTTCCTCCAGAACATATCAAGGTCACTCGCATAGCGTTCAAATTGCTTTACCAACAGAATTGCTGTATCTAGCCTGTGCCAACACTGCTCCAAAGACAATGGATAAAACCAGCTTGAAGCCTTCAGTACCCCTCAAATGCCACAACATTTGGACTGAATGTGCCGTAACTGTGATACAGGAGAGCAGAGGTTTGCTTGAAACACACTGTGTAAAAGAAGATGTATTACAAATGCTCCTTCAATTCAAAATATTTCAAAGTTTGGTAAAGGAAAAAGAAAACCAGCTTTGAGAACCCATTATAACCTATTACCATTTTAACTCAAGATAACTCTGAGAAAAATTTTCTTGCATGTTTCAAAAACAAGCAATGTGGTAGTCTTTCTAGCTTGTTAGAGCTCTTCTTGCCTCTGCCTCATTTCAATGCATGTTTAAGTTTCGCCATTTGCCAGCCTTTATGAGCAATAATATATCCTCAGGTCAAGCAAACACAGAAGTGATTAATCTCTCTAAAGACTGGAATGCTTCTTCTCAAATATCAAAGTTAGATTTCTTTTTTCCTTCAGCTCCAGTTCCACAGAAACTCAGGTTGTTGGTTTATCTTCACTTAAGGAGTGATCCAATAAAAGAGGTCCCGCATGGAATTCTAATCAGACTGGAAAGAATACCCAGAAGTCAGACACAGGTAATAAAAGATACTCACTGTGTGAACTCCAGTTTGAAATAAGAATAGAAATAACTGAGAACTGGAATAGGAAGGCAATAATTTATTTTCCTCTCCTCCCCAGACAAGTAATATGCTCTTAAAAAGATGCTAAACTTATTTCACTTCTGGATTGTTTCTGCACTAGTTTTGAATCTGCTACCTACATTATTGGAAAAAAGTGCCTCACAGCAGCTACCCAGAGCTGTAGCAGTTCCTTGTATGGTGGAATATGAGCCAGCTACAGGATGGAGCCTGGAGAATTGCCTGTTTACAAGATTGCAGGGCAAAACCAGAAATTTGGATGAAAGGGCTAGCTGAACCCGTGTCCCCCGAGCTCTTTTCAGCAGCAGCTTCCAAGTCAACCAAAAGAGTTGCAACAAAACAACCATCTGTTTCTCCTCTCCTCCCTTCCCTTTCTTTAAACGTAGAAGATCCAGTAGTACCACGGTCCAGTAGTAGCATGATGAAAATGGTATAGATTCCCTTTGTACTTATGTTTCTTCCTTCTGTAACCAACTGACCTTCTGTAATGCAAGTTTCACTAGATCTCAGCATGCAAATTACAAGATACTGAGCAGAGAATGAATGAGAGCTCATGGGAGATCTCGGTGAGGCTCTCAACATATACTCAATACTGATTTTTGGTAAAATATCAGCTGATGGACTCTGTCTCTTTTTTATCCTGTCTGCTAACTCTACTGATTTTGAGTACCTGTCAGACCCATTACACAAATTGTGTACGTGATTTTGATTTCCCCAAATGCTTCAAAGAAAACAAGGCAGTGAGGAAGGCTCAGCAGAAAGCAATATATGTTATTTTGGTGGTATTTGGAAAATTAGCTCACTTCTGTTCCCAAGATAAGGTGCAGCTTACTTGAAAAGCCCTAATATGCAAGTCAGGAGGGACTAAAAAAGAACAAAGCCTACAAAAACCTGAAACAAAGTAAACAAAGGACGTAAAGGAAAGGCTTTCACTTCTAAAATATTCAGCAGGTTAACACAGTCAGGGAGACAAGTTACAGAATTAAGACCTGAAACACAAAAGAAACTCTTCATGAGAGCCCACTTCTGTCCAGAACAGTCTTCCTGTAAGATAAGGGATTTAAAGTTATTCTTCTTTGACGTTGCCTTTACAAGTCTTTTCAGTAAAATATTGAATATTTTACAACAATTGCAATATAAAATAAGAGAACAACATATCTGTACCATGTTTTCACGTTTATGATATCCAATTTTTACATTCCACAGCTGTACTCTATCCTTTATACCCTTAGGAAAAGAGTATGTAACTGTGCTATGGTCATCCTCACAAGATGATCTCTCCAGTATCTTCAGACAAGTTGGTCCATTAGCAAGTGTTCTGCAATGTATCAGTTCGGTATTATTGCAGTCTTTAGCGAAGCCAGACCACGCTCCCTCTGCAGAATTTTCCACGTCCCTATCTTCCTACTGGGAATAGTACCCGTTGTTACCCTTATTGGGTCTCTGTCACTCCATCAGAGTGTGATTCAGCAGCGTCATCATTGATTCTTTACTTGACAATCAACTCTACTGACTACAAAAAATACTGTTTATCTAGAAATGCAGCACTAAACATTACAGATAATTCCTTTACCTTTCTTTTTGTCTGTACTGGAAATATCTGTACTGGAAATATATGTTCCATGTTCTTAATGACTTTGCAGTTTAAACATATACAAGATTGGGAAAAAAACAAATGCAGATGCAAAAGTTGGTGCTTTGATTCTTACAAGCCACGTATGAGGAAAGTAAGAAATTTAATGTAAACAAAAGCTACATTTTTTTAAGATTATAGAATTAAGTATTCTAGCCCTACAAAGTTTCTCAATGGGCAGTCTAAAGCAGATAATTTTAGAAGTCACAGAAAGTAAATAAGCAATCCTTGCCCTTGAGATACAAACAAAAAAAGTATTCTGTAGATTTCACCACATCAGACTGTAGTTTCACTATAGCTGGATTAAATATTTCAAGCCATGTCTGAATGCACTCAAACTATTTCCAAACAACATGAAAAATTGAAATGGCAACAACTACCTCATTAATTCTTTATAAATATATAACAGATGAGATTTTAGTATATGAATGGAAAAATTCGCAGAAAGGTGACCTGTCTTATCAATCTTCTCATCACAAAATCTTCCGTAAGAAGAAAATATGTCACAAATATATATATACATATATATATATAAGATAAGATATAAAGAGTTCCGCTCCATGAAATATTACATGTAAATTCAAAATGTAATGATAGTACAAGATGATCATCTCTGTTTCTCTTTTCTTTAATAACTGCTGATGTCAAATAACTTACACATACTTTTGAAAGCTATACAGTAATTTCTAGTCCTCCCTATTATTTTGTCAACTAACAATATAGATATTAGGCATTTTCTTTGTAGAATTCAGTGCCATTAGGAAGGATGTACAAAGCTAGAGGTAGGTATCTTCTGACTCTTCTTTTTGCATATATTAAGTTTACATACACACATCACAAGGAACTCTTTGCATTTCCTCCACTAATAGTTTCACCATTTTTGTACCTAATGAGTTGGATGACAGAAGTTATTAAACTAAAATATCAAGATAACCTGCGTTTCTGAATGCCTTAAAAGAGGAATGACAGGAAGCTCTTTCATCTGTCAGCAACCTAATACAAAACAAGGCTTTGGAAATAATGTCGTTTTGATGAAATTTTTAACCCAAAGCAGATAAGTTCGTATGTGTGAGAAGGACCTCCAAACTTGTAACTATTATCTGAAAATTTACTTCTTAAAAGTTCCTCCCAATTCTGGGGGGATCATGGAAGGAGGGACACCAGTGGCTATTCAAGACGAGGTGTAAGGGATTTTACTGAGGTAGGAAGAGACATCCAGTTTCTTTAGAATTAAGGCTTATTATTACTAGGAAGCAGAAATGAATTCATTATATAGACTAAAGGAGAAATAAAGCTGAACAGTGAAATAAAGAAAGTGGTTCCAAACACTTTCAGTGCACTACCTTGGCAAGGGAGTGAGATTCAACCCTGGCAGCTGACTCACTGCCTCCCCACTTTCCTTCCCACGCATACTTCTCCCTAGAAGGCACAGCGGTAAAACATTGTCCCCAGACTCACTCTGCCTGTCCCACACATCTTGGCCAAGTTGCATCTCCCACATCTTCCAAACCAATGATGTTTTCTGTTCCTTGCAGACAGTAAATAAAGGAAGGCTGGAAGGAAAAGATAGACCAGTTCAGCTAGTCCGAGTGCTGTTTGTGACCAACCAATAACTCCTACAATGGAAAAGGCTCAGAGGAAATGATCAATGAGTGAGTTGCCCATGAAGCTTGGGAATCCTGTAGCATGTAACTCATTAATCACACCTGTTGTACAGAGAACTGACTTTATCTGAACACATATGGCACCAAAGGATGACCTTTGTGTTATATAAACAGCTGTATCTTTTGAGTGGATTGACTGGTTTAAACATTTCTTCCTGTGTTGATCAAACGAATGCAAATGCCTCCCAGAGATTAACCAGATCAGCATGAAGGAAGTGAATATGTGGCTCAGTCTGATATAGAGTATAAACCATGAACAACTACCAAAGGAATCTGTAAGACAGCAATGTGGCTTCAACTCACATATTTCCTCAATTGGGGATGCCTAGCATCCTGATAGTGAGCATATTATAGAGACCAATAATGGTGAACACATATGTATTGTGATTGAACTGTAAGTGCATATGTTGTGATTTCAGAATATTGCTGAATCATGCTGCTAAATCAAAAATCCTGTGTAATATCAAATCTCTTCAAAACAGGTTTTTGTATTAAAACTTGCACTCTCTGCTTGCATGGAATGTCAGGAAGAACCTGATTAGAGAGTGCTGGACACTGACGCTACTGCATCAGCCCCACATACTTGCGGTATCACCCACTTCTGACACTCAGCTCCTAGCTCAGCATCATTGTGATACTGTTCTCTCTCTACAGCCCCTTTCTCCCTGCCGCTGCCCCAGGTGCCTCTGTTCACATCAAGAGGGCATTGCAGAGACATCTGTAGCTGGACAGAGACACAGGAGCGAAGAGGCAGCGGCTTAATATTGGAGCTGAACAGAAGGAGATGAAAGCATGATTGCAAAAGGGTCAGGGAGCCACTTGTGAAGTACTTCACTCTGAAGAGAGATGCACTAATCATACAAGAAAGTATTAAAGAGATCTTATTCCAGGTGTCTTGTTGCCAAATTAGCTCCCTAACCACTATATGCTGCTTATACAGGGCACCAAGTGAGCAAAAGCCTTTTCTTCTCCTTCTCTCTCTCTCTCTTTTTTTTTTTTTTTAAACCATGCATCAGGAATTGAAAGGAATACGACTCAAGCTACATCCATCATTTTAACAACTCTCATTTCAAACACAAAAATAGTTAAGTGACTATTTTATTGAACTGTGTCCTTGGTAGATGGATTATGTAGATTTGCAGTCTATTCTCTGTCCCTGGAAATACAGAAGTTGATTTTGCTGTGACCGTGAATACTACTATTCACAGCGGAAGGCTAAAGTCTATTGATTTGGGATGAACATCATCCTAAGAGGTATTAATTCATTCCCCTCCCTCAAATTTCTCTTTTCTTATGGTTCTGTAAAACTTATGATTATGCCAAATCATTCCCTGCCATGTTAAGGAGAGAATGTGGTATAGTACTGAGAAATTAAAGACACACAGCGAGATGAAAGATAAAGAGATTATTCCCAATAGCACATGCTCAATGACTATGACTGCTTTAATGACTTCATATAGGGTCAATTTGACAACATGGTATGCCAAATTGTAGGGTCACTATCAAACATGAGGTTTAAGTTAAGTAGAAAGAACAGACACACAGCTAACACATGAACAGGCCTGTGAACAGAACTGTGAAGCTTCTGGTCATATCCAGATGCATATCCAATGCCTTTGAAAGGCATTGCAAAGAGTAAACACAAGGGCTAATCAGAATTATATATAACTAAAACTGCTTAGGCTACTCTCTAATACAGCCCAACCTTGGCAAAATGTAATAAGAAATACGTGCTACTAATAAGCCAATGTGACAATTCATCTAGGCTTCCAAATGCATAGACAGTAGTAACTTGAACCATTATAAGCTGTCACAATTGCAGCTGGTCACCTAAAACCAAAGCTTTCTGCATCCCAGTGTTCAGCTTCCAAGTCCCAGCCAAAAACTATGTGTATGTATATGATCTTGAACTAGCATTCAAACAGGTTTAGAATTACTTCTTTTTGGCAACTGATCCTTTGCAGAGTTTTACCTAACACACCCATACAGTGTTGCCATTTGGGGCAACACATGTTGCCACAGTGTTGCCACAACCCTTTCTACACACTACTCTGCTTTTATTTTTAAAACAAACAAATACAAAAATATGGCAATAATGAACTATTTCAAGATGCAAAAGAATACAGCTGATTTTAGGAAAAGCTACATAGCACTTGAAAGCAACATAACTTGCAAAATTCAACAATTATATTACATTATTGGGTCTTCAATATAGGCTATAGCATAAATAATACTTATCAGAAAGACTTCTCATTGCCTGTATTTTCCTCAAAACGTTTGGATGCATTTGTTCTTTAAAAAAATCAACATTCCTACGGTTGTGGGGGCACCTAGTGGCAAGCAGCACATGTTTATGTATAAACTGATCACCAATTATTATAGATCTACTTTTACTTTCAGAAGATTCTGTATTCTTTTACTTTCATAACTTTTAAGACACAAGGTGGATTTTAGCATACAGCTACCTCAAGAAGTAACACTTCAACATAATACAGTGGCAGCCCCACAGATTCCAGCCACCACTTCCCCAAACTTTAGTCTACAGGAGACGAACAAGAAAGTTTTTAAATAAAATCCCTTTTTACCCTGTATGCCTCCTATCTTTTTCCTTGCCTCCATCAGAGAGAGATCATGCAGGGCCAGATTGCCAATTATGTCGGAGCTGTGCTCATATACAGTGAGAAACAGACCATCTGGAAAGCAGTTTCATCTCTTTCATCCCAAGCTGTGTAGCACAACACATGCAGCAGTTACAGAGGTCAGGAGAAGAACAGCTTTCATTTGCAATAAAATTTGCCAAAAACAAACACAGTAGCCCTACAATGAAAGGAAGAGACTTTCAGTAGCGACTACTTGTCTGCAAACAGTGTTTTCCTACAGTGAACGGGTATTCTTGCTGCCTAGGTATGAGTTCATTTTGAGTCAGCTGGATAATGCAAAGGAACCCTGACTATGTTTGAGATATCTCTGGTTTTCTTTCTTACTGTCATTACAAGTTTTTTTTTTTCTTCTGGCAACCCAGCACCAGTTCTCCATAGATACTATTGAAATAGATGGAGCTTATAAACTATTTCCTCAATTCCAATATTAAACATTTTATATGGACAGAGATTGCTACCCTTTCGGCTTCATGGTTTGTGTCTCCTATTCAAAATTTACATGCTATTTTCCAGTATGCCCCCTAGGGTGTGTCCCTTAAGTCTTTCTCCTTGTCCATTTTCCCAGATCCTTTTACCAAAATGTTTTTCCTTTCTTTGTTTCTGCCCAGGGCATGTATGAATAAACACATCAAGGCCTTGTTTGGGCAAACACCCTAGTTAAATCCTTATTCCACATAGCAAAATTTGAATGTTCCCCAGAGAGGATTGGATCTCACAGACAATTTACTTTCTTCTCACAGAGTCATTAGCTTTGCATTCTGGCCTGAGTGCTTTTGGTTGCTATTTGGTAACAATGATTACCGTCACTTTGATTATTAACCTCTCAGCAACAATTCTTCAGCTGCTTTGAAACATTAGGCCCTAGACCATAGTTAGACCATAGCCTAGCAATAACATTACAATACTAACTCACGAATGCCAACCCAATTAGTGGGATTATTTTTTCTTTATATACATATATTTTCAACCTAGCTATATCCGCCCCAGCTCTGTAGGTCCTGAGTCAGGCCTTCAAGACTGCACAGGTGCACTGCAGTTGCCCACTAAGGAATCAGAGAATGAATAAGAAATGCAGATTTTTCTAAGGAATATAGCACAGTCTCATCATGCCTAGGAGGGTGGCAGGCAAGATGAACTCACAGATCTGATTCAAATAGATCTCTATCATATTATCCTGCAGTAATACCTTCCTGTTCACCTTTTGAAAGTCAGATGACTCCCCCAGGCTTTACAGTCTCCTGCAGCATCCCCAGAGCTCTGACACTTGACTGCTCCATACAGGCAGGAAGGAAGAGCTAGCAAGAGCATTACTCTCAGCAGAGCAAACCTACTGCCCTCAACCACTTCATGTACCCAGCCACCAACATCATCTTCACCTAGCAACTGTTATCAGCTGAGTCTCATCAGAAGTCATACATAAAGTTTCCTGAACTCATTACAAAGAACAAATAGGAAACACTAACTTTTATCCATGGAAGACTAGAGATTTCTTTGGACAAATCATTTTTTACATTTGAAGCTTATCATTGCATGAAATTGCATGTCTTTTCATAGATCTTCCTTCAGCCCTCTTTGTTCAGGAAGGCTTTTCATTAAAGTACTGGCAAGATTTATTTATGTATCAAAACTCTTGATTCTTTTATACACGTTATTCTATCATATCTATCAAATCAATGTTGTTCTCTCAACATTACAGTGAAGCTTTACAGATTTTGCTTATTAACAATAAAGAATGAACTGCCTTTGAATCTCAGGTGTGGTCCTGCAGCTTCACTAGGACCTTTGCAGAAGAATTAACCAGGCACTGAGTATTAAAAATTAGAGTTTGCTTAAAATTACAAAGTTTGTCTTATAGAGCCCACTTTAGCATTGCATAATTGAGTAAACATTAACATAAACTAACACAGGTAGAGATTAGTCAATTAGTCAGCCTGATTTTCACTGCTTATACAGATATAAGGCAAAATTGCAATGCATGGATGAGGTAACTAGGGGTTACTTTATCCATAAATGTAAAAAATACACATATTTGTATGAACAATTTAGTTTGTACATAAAAGGACTCCCCCATCACTTTGCCTGTGGCAATTAAATTCCTGTTATTGTACTACTAGTATAGTGCTGGAAAGATAGTACTCTTAGTTTGTCAGTGACATGAAAAGTACTTGCTGCATGACTTAAGTATTGGAATGAACTATTTTCCAGATTAATTGTAGGAGAGGTGTTAGCTTTTCATACTGCCAGTAGGTAAAAGCATTTTCATTTACAATAATGCGGAATGAGAGAAGTCTCAGGAAACACAAGGTACAAAACAGATGAACTTGGAAAATCCAATGACATTTTATAGAAACATCAGACATATTCCTACGGTTTCTTGCCAATATTGCTAAAGAATCTTCTGTCATTGTTAATTACTACTCTATCCTCACCATTTGTAGACATGTAAGCGACTTCTGTATAACTTCTGCAATGTACCTATCCTACAGTCTTATTATTGCAATACAGAAAACACAGAAGTTAGCCTTTATCATCCAAAACTATGAGACCATGAGTTGCTAAAGCCAGAGAACAAGAGAAAAACTGTTAAGATTTGTTTTTGGCATTGAAAGGCAATCTTTGTGCAGGTGATATCCATGCACACATGCATACCTTCTGGTCATGCCCCTAAGTGTCTGAAACAGACAGTTTCTGCTAGTCCAGAAACTGCAGCTTAAAACCATGTGTATCATAGCATAATAAATAACCTCATGGGTAATTTGTCTATCTAGTCTAGTACTCTCTAAGACAGTCGTAATAGAAGATGCCAGTTAGGGAGAAGAGACAAGCCTCCTTATTTATTGTAAATCTGCTCAGTGTATTAAATTTTGTAGCATCAATTGTGCTTGGGAGGCTTCTCACTTCATCTTGAGTGAAAATCTTATTGGGTTTTGGAAGTTTATATTAATTCAGTTTCTCTTTTGAAGTGCTTATAACTGCCCTGCTCTTACTCTATACTTAGAGGCTAACTAGCAATACATGAGAAATACTAAAGAGCATGAAAACAACAGAAATAGTCAAGGTGAACTGAGGTAATCTGCACCTTCTCAAATGCATACTTACAGTGCAAACTG